CATCAATCAAGCCAAAGTTCTTGAAACCATATCCACCAATTTTGAGAAAATCTATGGTCTAATGGAGAAAAGAAAAAGAGATAGAGATAATAGTATTTAGGATACTATAAAGGATGTACCAAACTTAGATGACAATGCTCAATACAAGGTGTTTGAATTGCTTAATACTAAAGTAAAACAAGACATGTTCTTGTAGATGTCATCCGAAGAACACTCATCTTGGATATCCTTCAAATTAGGATGAATTATTATTTGGATCACCTTGGTTTTTGGTTGAGAATTGTTTACTTTGAATTGTTGAACTGTGAATTTGGCATTTGGTATTTTTGTTGAACTATGTATTTTGGTTGTGGCATTGTGGTTGAACTATGCATTTTAGTTGTAGTGTTTTGGTTGAACTATGTATTTTGTTGTGGCATTTTGGTTCAACTATGTATTTGGTTTAGTTTGTCGTATTTTGATTGAACTTTTTTCTCCCATGCAATGGAAATTAATTTCCATGAATATGCTTCTTCTTTCTTTCACATCATAAATAAGAAAATTTGATATATGACATGCATTTTTCTACATAATTATATAAAGAGAGTGAATGAAAGGTTCCTTGATCCTTCCCAGAAGGGTTGGCCAACTAAAATATTGATGACACACATATTCCAGCAGTAGTGAGGGGACACGATGTCATTAGAGCTATTGATGACACACATATTCCAGCAATAGTGAGGGGACGTGATGTCAGCAACTATCATAATCGACATGAAAATATGTCGCAATATATATTAGCAGCTTGCAATTTTGATTTGGAATTCATGTATGTCCTTAGCAGGTGGGAGGGTTCGGCTCATGATTCAAAAATGTTAAGTTATACTTTATCAAGGAGGAATGATCTTAAGATTCCCCAAGGTAAATACTTATCTTTTTTAGTGGCAAATATGTTTTATGTCTATGTTGCATACTAATATATATGTACTATATAATTAGGTAAATATTTCTTTGTGGATTGTGGATTCGCCAATTGACGCTAATTTTTAGCTTCGTTTCGAGGTGTGCGATATCATCTCCAAGATTTTGAAGGCCGTGGTCGTGACCCTAAAAATGAAAATGAGTTGTTCAACCTTCACCATGCGTCCTTAAGGAATGTGATCGAGAGGATATTTGGTATTTTTAAATCACGATTCACAATTTTTAAGTCGGCTTCTCCATTTCTATTTAAAACACAAGCGGAGCTAGTGTTGGCATGTGCATCATTACATAACTTTCTGTGTAAGGAGTGTTATTCCGATGAATTTCCTATTGAGCCAACTAATGAATCTTCATCATCTTCATTCTCATCAATATCGGTTGATGAAGATGATAATTTTGAACAAATTTATCAAATCCAAGAGCAACAAAGAGAGGATGCTAATGCATGGAGAGCTAGCATAGCTTCAAATATGTGGAGAGATGCTATCTAGGTCATATGAGGAGATGGAGCTCCAACAAATGTTTGTTACGTCTTGAATAATTTTTTTTTTCTTTAAGCCATGTTTAGTTGCTACACGAAGTTATTGTTATTACTTTTCTCATTTGGTTATTTATCTATGTGGTACAATTAATCCATATTATTACATTATTTTTATTTCATATAAAATCTTATAGCAAATCTTTTGATTATTTGGAAAATACAAAAAAGTCCCAAATGAATCATAAGTAAAATCCTGTAATTACAATCTATTAAAATCATAAGTAAAATCTTGTAATTACAAATCCTGCTAGAATCCATTACATTAAAATCCTGTGATTACAATCTATTAAAATTGCAATTGAATACACCATCATGTGATTACTAGTAAAACTTTCATAGATGTTATGTACATTATCAATGAATTTATTGAACAAATAAAACTCAAAATTTACTAATGTATTCAATTAGGATTTTATAAGCTTTTAAAAGACTTTAAAAATCCGGATGTATTCAATTTGGATTTTTACTAACTTTTAAAAAGTCTATAAAAGTTTGGGTGTATTCAATCTAGACTTGTTTGATTGGAAAGGATTTAATTGAGTGTTGAATTTGGTGAATTTTAGGTGGGAGGTATAAATAACAAAGGCCAACATAAGTCCAACCTCTCCCCCCCCC